TCACCCGATGAAGTTGTACAGAATTATTTTCTACTTGCTCCAAAATACAGTATTCAGTATTCAGGGGACAGATCCCTCAGAACATAAAACTATTCTCCTTTAAGACGTGAAGTGCGTCGGAGGGTGCGCCTGCATTCATCTTCGTTTTAGCATACGATCTTGAGAGGGTGACTTTGTAGATTCCTCCTGCTTCCTGTTAATGCGAAAGGCAGAAACAAGATTTATCTCTGGTTCACCCTCATCAAACAATAGTGAAATCATCCTTTTTAAAAAAGCTTCATCGTCTAGAATCCTTACAGCTGGCGTGGTTTTAGGAGACTCCGGCGCATTTACCACTATAAGGCAGCGGTCAAGAGAGGGACGATAGGAGTCCCTAGATGTCTGCTGCTTAGGAGAAATCGATGTGTCCTTAAGCAAATTCTTCAATTGAGTACCAGCGACGCTCTTTCCAAGTTCTCGGATTTTGTGAAGGATTTGCTTTCGATTTATCAAGTGGGAAGAGCTATCCGGGTTGTTAGCTATGACGTCAAAATGCCTGAGTTGCAGTAAAAGTGTGACTTCGCGTTCTAAGGCCGTACAGTGCTCTGAGTGTGACAGATGGCTGCATACTGCCTGCTGCGACATTTGTCCCGAACTCTGAGTTTCTGCAACGATCTACTACATCGGCTATCATTGTTTCCTGTAGCCCCTGCCGTTCTTCATTAAACAGTCGACGACTTCTCGCCGGGCTGCCAGTCCTGAGCCCTCATTTTACGCCAACGAAGTTAGAAGCTTCTACTGCATTGAACTCTCTTGTTTCATCTCCTTTTTCGTCCGCACCTAATTACGGCTCAGCTACCCCCACGGTTAATCGAAGCCGTGTCCCATCTGCTTCCCCATCAGAATCTTTGACACACACCTTGCCCAGTGAGCCCGCGACTGAGACATACGCTGCCGTGGTGCGGAAAACTCCCACTGTCCCAATGGGTCGGAGTCAAACTATATGTAATGTTCATGAGAAGTCTAAGTCTAAACCCAAGAAAACTGCTTCCCAGTCCCAAATGAAATCTGTTCTGGACAAAGTCAACGAGCTGGAAAAGTTGATCAAGGAGAGTGCGTCACCACAACCGCAGATCTCTGGCCGCGCTCTACCACCCTCTCGTGAAAGATGTCTTATCATTGTGAACGCCCCAGAATCCACCAAGGACACTTCTGCAGAAAGGATGCTGGGTGACCAAGGGTTCCTTGAGCGAATGATTTCCATTTTATTAGATGGTGAATTGGGTATAAACATCATCTCTGCCTTCCGCCTGGGCAGGAAGCAAGAGTATCCTTCTAAGGTACGTCCCCCCCCACCCAAGATCGTATGCCAAAGCGAAGAGGAATGCCGACGTATTCTCCGGCGAACTCCACGTTTGAAAGGTGAGCCTTTTTACATCCTGAGAGATCTTTCTCCAGAAGATCGTATTAAAATGAAAACAGCCATCGATGAGCTCCGGTCCCGCCTAGCGAATGGTGAGACAGACCTCCACATGGTGGATTTTCGCGTAATCCGGAGAACCGCGAGAACACAGGATAGCAGAGCATGAGAACGGACTGTGTGTAATTTTTGCCAATGTACGCAGTCTGAGAAATAAACTTGATGAGGTACAGATGCTTGCGTCAGATACTCGCCCAGACTTGATGGCCTTCACCGAAACTTGGCTTTTTGAAGACATCATAGATTCAGAGGTTTCTATCCTCGGATACGGTCTCTGTCGAGCCGACCGCCTTGGAGGTAGGCCCGGCGGCGGCATCATACTTTACTGGAAGGCCGAACTCAAGGCCCATTTGGTTGCAGCTACTAGTGCCGACGATGGTGAATTTGATGCCATTTGGTGCCGTATTCATGATGGATGCAGCTTCTACACTATTGGTGTTGTCTACAAAGCGCCATCGGAATCCGGAGTTCAGTTGCTCGATTCAAGCAGGAAACACGGCGCGGGAAAGGACAATCTTATCGTGTGAGATTTTAATGCCCCCAATATTGATTGGGACTTACCCCTTTGTGGTCGTCCACCTGGTTTTTTGATGCCACCTTATTTGGGACTGCTATCGATTGTAATTTGTTTCAACACGTCACCATGCCAACTCGCATTGTTGCTGACCAAACGCCAAACATTCTGGACCTTGTGCTCACCCCAGCTCAGTCAGATGTCACGAATCTAACAGTTCTTCAACCCATGGCCAAAGTGATCATTGTGTCGTTTCATTCCAATGGACACGTCGCCTCACGATCCATAGCCAAGGTGGTTGTCATCGGAACTTTTGGCAAGCGGATCCACTCCGTCTGAGAACAGCCGCAAGCGCAATGGACTGGAGTATTTTTGATCCCATTCCTCTAGATGATGCGTGGAACCCTGTGCTCATCAAAATGACTTCTCTAATTGAGCAGGTCGTTCCTTTCTCCGGTAGAGATTCCTTCAAGAGGAGTCCACCTTGGATTGAGAGTGACTTGAGACCTCTGATGAACCGAAAACGCACATTGTGGGAGCGTTTCAGGCAATCTTAAACAGAGTCCGATTACTCTTCCTACAAGATTACCAGGAATGTTTGTGTCACCTTGAAGCGTCAGAAACGTCAGCAATATGAACTATCATTAGCAGTACACTCCAGAACGACAGCCAAAATGCTTTTCTCTTATCTGAAAAGAAGCACCAGGGCTGGCAGTGGCATCCCTACCTTGTGTTCTTTGGAACATCGAAATTTACTTTACGAAGACGCTGATAAAGGAAGTTTTTTGGCCCAGCAGTACGCCTCTGCCTTCGCGAAAGAAACCCCCGCCTGAGACAACACTGGGTCCAGTTTTTCCTAGCTGCTGGATCAAGTAGACACTAACATCAATTCGGTGGTTAAACTACTCCTTGATTTAGATCCGCATTCTTCACTCGGCCCGGATGGCTTGCACATCTTGTTCCTTAGGAATGTGGCGCAGTACATCGCCCCTCCTATCTGCCAGGTTTCCGTCGTTACTTTGAAGCTGGGCGTCTTCCGTCGGCTTGGAAAGTGGGCATTGTCAAACCCATATACAAAGGAGGGAACAGGCAAGATCCAGCCAACTATCGTCCTATCTGCTTAACATCGATATTGTGTAAAGTTATGGAGTGGATCTTGAAGCAGGCACTTCATCTCTACCTCGAGGAACTGAATCTCTTCTCTTGTGCACAGCATGTTCTTGAAGGGCACGCTCATGTACCTCGAACTTACTAATTGCTAAGGAGAAATAAGCATAATCGCTAGATCCCGGTAAACGCCTGGACGTTGTGTTTGTGGATTTCAGCAAAGCTTTGGACAGGGTCCCGCATGAACGACTTTTGCTTAAACTCCGAGGAATCTGTCGCTGGGAATCTTCTCTCTTGGATCTCTGATTTTCTTCGAGACCGCACGATGCAGGTGTAAGTAAACGAAACATTTCCGCCCCTATTATCATGACTAGTGGAGTCCCACAGGGTTCTGTCCTCGGCCCCGTGCTATTTCAACGTCTTCAACAATGACTTACCGTCCACACTCCAGGAGGATTGCCTAATCTACGCCTACGACCTGAAGTTGTGGATGGAAGTATCCAGCATGGAAGATGCTGACAGATTGAAATCGACCTGCTGCATGATTGGTCAAGTAAGTGGCAATTGCCAATGAATCTTGAGAAATGTTCGGTTCTTCCAGTTGGTGCGTCTGACGCATTTGGAATCTACCATATCGATTGTTCCTTGCTCAGAAACGCAATTCAGGAGAGGGATTTGGGTGTGATACTTTCGCCTGACCTAAAATCTAATGAAAATACAAAGAAAAAAGTCGCTTCGGCCTACAGGATGTTTCACTCTATACGCAGAGCCTTCCCTCGCCTGACCCCAAACATCTTCCGACTCCTGTTTACTTAAAGTACGCCCGCTTCTCGGATACGGGCTATCTGCCGCCTACCCTCTTACGAAATTTGAATGTGATATGATTGAAAAGGTTCAACAGCGTGGATCCAAATCTGTTCCTGAGCTGCGGGACCTGTCCTATTCTCTGCGACTCAAACAGCTGAACCTCTTTTCCCTGGATTACCGTCGTCATCGCGGAGACTTGATCTTTACCCGACGTATTCTTAGAGAGTTGGAAAGGGAATCACAGGAATTCCCTCATCTTAACACAGAAAGTTCAACAAGAGGCCACAGTTTGAAACCGCATAAACCACGGTCTGATAGGCTTAGGACGGAAACTCGTCTGTCGCGCCGATTTATAGATCGCTGGAATTCGCTTCCAGATCACTTGGTTAGGGAACCTACGGTTGTTCTGCGCGCCAGCTCGATGCTCCTCGGTGGCAACAGCAAACTTTTCCTGGCTGACTCACCTTCACTTTTCAGTTTTGTTAACGACTCAAATATCTTGGTATTCCACTTGCTTAGCTCCTTCCACTTTCGCTTTCTCTTTTTTCTTTCGTACCACATACCCGGCCCATCAGGGACTGCTAGGGCAGGATACGTGGGCAATAATTGGTTGGACGGGGTGTGATGCGGCCTTTGTTTTAGGTCCATCAGTATTTCAAAGTCCGCCAACTCCTGGTTCAACGACCCACCGAAGAGGGAACACCCACGGGATAATCCTATGGTTCCAGTCCCGCTTGAAGTTGAACTTGAGTGCGACCCAGTCTAGCTTAATCCACTGGCGTCGTGAATGACTGGAACCGTCTTCTGGAGTCCATCGTCGCTGCAGAGACCGAGGAACGTTTCGAGCATTTATTGGATTCACATTTTAGTTTACGGGGATCCAGCTGTTCCCAATGCAGCATCAGTGGTTCTCTGTGGGACCTTGTTCCGCAATGACCCAGGCTATCTCCGCAACGACTGGGAAGTGACGGAGCTGACAAAGGAACTTCCTTTTGCTCTCTACCATCCTCAGCAGTACGTAGCCTAACAATCACACTTCACTCATATATATAATATAAAGAATAACGTTCACGAGGCTACAAGAAGCAAAAATCGATGCATAAAAAAGCATACCTTGATCATCATCAGGCCAATCAGTAAAAGAAGGCATCGTCAGAGCGAGCTTTTAACAAAAAGCGAGTAAAGTGTTGCCCGTGACAGATGCCTGGTACAGTTGGCGTAAACATGCTCATGTAGTTTAGATGTTGTATATTCATGTAAACGGTGATGGCAAGTTAGCGGTAATTTCAACATACCTTATGATCAAGGAATGAAGACAGCGTAAGAGATTTGTTTATCTGAGTTAATTAGCATGTACATTTTGGCGGGTTTCGTCTTCCGCCATGCAGGATGATACTGCAGTTTTTCGTTGCGTGATAACTGGTGGGTACGAGGTATTTGAAGAGTTCCAACGCGGTTTGATGCGGTTTCAAAGAGAAAGTGCAAGTTCGTTTTATAGATGTACGGTGATTACTGCGGCGGATTATAGGCAAACGACTGGATACGACCTTCCTGATGGTTTTCGGTATCGATTCATTCAATCTCGGTGTGTGAACAGCAAGCATAAGAAGGTGAAAGGGAAGCGGTAAGGTGCATGATAATTTTACTGCTGCTGAATCTTATAGTCAAAGGTGCTACAACTGCAAGGCCCGCTTTTCCGTGGTACTGAAAGGTAGGTAATAAGAAATTGGCCGCGCCTGTTTGAGGCAGTTGCATGTGTTCCAGTTGGGGAAACCATAGCTTTATCCGGCTAACTGATGGCTTGATTTGGTACAGAAGGCGGCGGGATTAAGCTTGATGAAGTGGTTTAGTCAGACACGTGAAATCAGAAATGTTGTATTAACGGAATACCGTCTCCGTATTACCAGGTATGCTTTATATCAGCTGAAGCATCGGAGGCAGGCGGAGCACGTTAGTCTTCTGCTGTACAATTGAAAGCGGGGGCTGCACATCATTCATCATCATTATACACGTTAGTTAGAGGTGGAAAACACCTCAGTTACTGTGCTGCAATACCAAGAAGAGCCAAGGAGCGAAAATTCAACAGACGCAAGCCAGCTGAGCTACCGGTAACGGATGCGCATCGTTCCGATAAGCTACCAGCCGAATACTATTCAGCACACCATTACTACACGAAGTTATAGATGGCTATATATTGAGATCGTGGTTAGAGGGACGAGGTGTGACAAAGAAACTCACAGCGGAATGCCATTGAGGCCAGCTCCAAGCCATAACAGCAAGTGTATGCAATCAAATGTATTCATCGTCTTTCAGCTTTCAACCAGGGAGCCTAGACGCTGCGACCGATGGCGGCTTTGAATTGAAGGCCTTCATTCATCCCGGCCAAGCCATCCCTTGGCCACCTCTCCTCTTCCATCCACGACCCGGCGCGCAAAATACGCACGTAGAGGGAGCCCATGGGCTGATTAGCGTGATACGTGGCCGAGCCATCCTAGCACGCTACGTGAAATGATGGTACTGAGCGGTTAGTTTAATTTTGCTGTGCCTTATACAAGGCGTCTAACTCTTTCGTTGCTTCCTCGGTGTTCCCACCAGATGTGAGTCAAGTTGCGAATGCATCGGTGGTCGAACGTAATTAGCCCGCTTTATGTCCGCCGATCTTAGGGACCAGGTTTCACAACATTGTAGCATGGTTGTAACGCGCTTATTTACCCATAAAATTCCCCTACTCTTCACTTCGTGGTCTAGTCTACAGACCTTGGCCGATCGTTGATGGATATCGACCAGCGTTCATGTGCGCCACCTTACATTCCCATTGTTAGCGTTGTAGGTGTGTCTGTGTGTGCATGCTTATCCCGGCACTGGTTCCGCGCGTGTGCGTCTACAGACGACCTTGGATCGCCAACCCTACTCTTCGCCGAACAGGACACGTTCAGCCCGGAGCTTGTGTCGCACCCCTCCCAGGTTCACTGGTCGCTTGCCCAAACACCATGTTTATGCGTGCCATTAAATTCTCACCCTGTGATTGGACTATCCCTTGATTTGTCAACGCCATTAGTCTTAATACTCGTAGCACTCAGGTGTGGTGACTTGTTCTCTTGATTGTCTGGCGTAGACCACTCGTCCCTCTTTATTGTTTACTGACACCTTGTTGTCAACTTGCATACACCGAGATACTGAACAATTGAAGTATGTCCCAATTATCAACTGTATATATTTTAATAGTACCGTAGTATTTGTGATCCGACTTGTTTTGATTTGGGATCTTTGGCTACGCGTTATTCAACCTTCACGGTGGACTTTACGATGGTCGAAGGTACCGATATATTATAAACTCTACCCTTCAGGGCGAGAGTGATGTCACGTCCGCGCCATACTCGGTGATGGCAAGCAAAATACCCTCGAGCTTTTGCTATACGGTTCGTGATCTCAGCCTCAGTCCCACGGTCGCTGATACAACTTCTTAGTAGTTGAATTTTTGAACGAGTTCTTGCGGACCCCCGCCAACAGTCAGCATAGGAGGCGGTCCAGGCTAATCTTTGAGGTACGCTTCGCACTTCCAGGGTGCAACGCACAGTCCGATGTGACGGGCAGACAGTACCAAGCTGTCCAGTGCCGCTTGGCACTTCTGGGAGCTATCACAGAATGGGGCAATATCGTCAGCTTACTGCATGACAAGAAGTCGTACTCGGGAGAGCAGATCCACACCTAAGCCGCGTCCTGTGCAAGCAATCTCCATGACTTCCTCAATGAAGAAGTTGCAGAGAAGGTGATAGCGGACATCCTTGTCTCACACCGCTGGAGAGATCGAAGGGCGACGACCGCTTGCTGTAAGCCCTCACTCTGCCTGAGCTAAGCGTTTATAATGATCGCATAACGCGTACGTATTCCTCAGGTACACCTTTCCCAAATAGACCTTCCCGAAGTTCACTTTCATCCACCGCCCTTAATAATTGGTGTTTAGAACTTATGTGTATCCATGCTGCCTAGTTGGGGGATCAGCCACAATTGTTCAGCCTCCACGTAACCTTTGCCACCGCTGTCTAGTCCGTTGCATCTTCTGTAAGTCTATCCGCAAGCAACAAGTGCGTTTTAGAAGTCCTGTGCCTCCATGATGCCTATATGGGCGATCCGCCACCACCGGCCAGCGTCTACGTAAGGTTTGCTGCTGGTAGCTAGTCAGTTGCAACTTCAGTAAGCGTAGTGGTTGTTAACAATCGGTTTATAAAAGCCTTTGTATCCGTGCTGCCTGGATGACTGGTCCACCACTATTGGTCAGCGTCTACATCACGTTTGCCGCCGTCATGTATTTCCTTTCACCTACCATAAGTGTATCTTCTGTTCAAATGCGGCTTTTAGCACTCCTATCTAGCCGTGGTGCCTAACTGACTGATGCGCAACTACTGGTCCACTGCCACGTAACATGTGCCGCCGTTACCTGCTCCTTTGCATATCCCATGGGTATATCGGCCATCATTGGGTGGCTGTTAGTTGGCTGTTTGGACGTCTCTCTATCCGTGAAGCTTACTTAAGTGACCTGCTGCTACGGGTTTTCCTGCGTGTACCACGTACTGCCGCAAATATACTCCGTTGCATCTCTGGTAAGCAAATTGCTTGTTCACTTTTTGCTTGCAGAACCCTGTCTACCGGTGGGACCTACTACATTGACCCGCCACTGCTGGTCTTCCTCCCCGTAACGTATGCAACAGCATACATACTTCTTGGCCCCTTAGGTTAATGAATTAACCTTGCACATGGTGCTTTTAAAAAGCGCGCATATTCCCTACGTATGCATGACTGCTCTGACCGTCCCGTCCCTTGCAGACTAATGTAGAATGCCACGCACACTTTCACCACCGTGTATTTTAAACACAGAATGTTGGCATGTAACACCTTTTAACAAAATTACTTATTTCTTCCGCCCTACGCGTGCTTTTAGTCCATGTCCAGTTTACGTGGAGTTTGAACTGTCACCGTATCCTCTAATGAGGCTGGCGAAACAATTTCTCAGTGTTCACCATTGGTTGGTTCCCAGCTATATACACGCTCACTCACCTAGTGGTGAATAATTTTTAATGGTACAAACCTCGGTCATGTTTGCTTTGTCTGCTCTCCTATTATCAATATATTATCCATGAAAAAAGCCATTCCACTATGCTATTCGCTATATATCAAGGAGTATAATCACCGACCTGTTACTCTGCATAACTAGTGGCAAGTATTTCTTGAGTATTTTACAATTCATTTTAAATTGGAACATTGCAAGATGTACTTAGATGTAAATAGCAATAAACATACTTAAATGTGTGTGCCAATAACAAAAGATAAATACTACGTTTGCAATCCTAAATGGCTGGCGGCATCCGGTTTCGGATTTGCCTGTCACTGTGGCCAACAACAGGACGCGTGCGCCTACAGAAGGACCATGGGTGGCTTGCGCTGCACCACCCACAGCTCCAACCACACACCCCATATCCAGTGTAAACCCGAAGGAATAAGACCGGGAGGCATGTGGATAGGAGCCACGTTTCATCAACGGAGCCGGCCCACGCTCCTTCATAGGCAAACACAAGCACACTGTATTTGGGAATCAAGCGCACACAAGGCGGTTGCTGGACCGTAGTCCGCTCCACACTGAGTGCATGGTACCACTCTTCGCGCCTTGCACGGCCACAAGGACCGTGCACCCCGCCCCTCCAGCAACGACCAACTGTCTCCTGGAGCCAGTATGGACAATGTAGTGGGTAATAGACAGGTAGGCGCCTTGTCAATATGCACATCAAGCGCAGCCACATCGGGGATATCAAGCTACAGCCAACCACTTGAAGCGACAAAATGAAATGAAATAAGTCCAATAATGCATACAGATACGGTGGCATAACTCTTCGCTAAATTAGCATATGAAGTAAGTTGGTTAGCAATGAATCCGCGATAAGGAAAAAGAATGTCCACAAGTTACTCAAAAATGCTACAAACGCAACAAAATTGCCGAAGATAAGCGCAATTAGCGTAAGCGACTTGGTCAGCTAATAGAAGACAATTCAGGTAGGCAAAACAAACCAAATTAACTGGTATGAACTTTATGCAGCTTAAAGAGACCTAGTTCAAATGTAAGTTGGTTTAGACCAACTGCGGTGAAGAAGCATCAAGAATGCAACATCAGCCTCAGCATGAGGCACACACACATACATGGTTGGCGGCATCCGGTTTCGGATTTG